CCCCCTCCAAACCCCCACAATCCCCCCTCCCCTCTCTCGACATGAGAAAGACGTCGTTGCACCCATACTCTCACCCGGGATGTATATACTCCACATCCACTTCTGGCATCTGACCTCTGGTGACCCCGGGCATCGTCAGCCGTCGACCTGTAACGTCCATCAAACGCGGCGGGTCTGTGGAGAGAGGATTTCAGGGATCACTCAACTAAAACATTCGGACTCAATGCAATTCCCCCTGTGGCGTATATCCTTTTTATCGAAATTTCTCACGTGCCATGCTTTTTGTTAAACTTGCTTATTATACTGTTCCGGCATATAGTATCTGTGTATTTAAAACTAGCAACTTCCTTGATGCGCTTGCTCAATAAAGTAGTCATAACGACTACAACAAAGTCTCGAGATCAGAACTTGTTTTCTCTGTCAGTGTCGAGTGAGTGAAGCCTTAATATGTTGCTGATACAAGATCTAGAAAGTAGATGCTAGTTCTTGAATCCCTCACCCCTCTCATTACGTCACAGACCTAAGTGCGGAAAATTTGATCCGTAACTCGCACCCTATTTGTAATTGATAGTTTATAGCATGACAGAAGTAAGGTTTCGAAACTGGTAGATGATCCTACAAATCTCTGAAAATAGGAATTTAGACTTCAGAAACGGTGTTTACTTTTTTATGTTGGATATCAATGATTTTTCCACACATAAGGGTAAAAATCAGAATAACATACATTGTCTCTCTTTTTAGAAAGTAGATAATTCGTGTGAAGTACATGTAATAAACCACGCATCACGACGACCAATATTAATAATTGTTTTAGTCTCGCGCCTTTTGAGGATGATTTGTATCATACCGGATCATACCCAGTTGAAGAAACCTTTTTTCAGTGACTTAATTTGCATCTGCTCAGTTCAAGCCAAGACTTGTGTAGGCTACAGTGTGTGTGTGTGTGTGTGTGTGTGTGTGTGTGTGTGTGTGTGTGTGTGTGTGTGTGTGTGTGTGTGAGGAGGGGAGGGGGTCAACATGTTAACGTAGACGTTCTGGACAATAACCATAGTATTTGGCAGCGAGTAACTTGTACTGACAGCAGAATTAGAGAAAAAGATTCAGACCACAGGGATGAGTCCTTGACATCTAGTACCAATACCACGTTTCAAATGCTGAGGTACGAAAGAGAATCACCAACCCAGTGGGGCAGCATGAGGATCTACTGACCACAGTGAAAAGACGAAAATTAAAATGTTATGGGCATGTCACAAGACCCACAGGACTTGCCAAAACAATCCTCGTACTAGGAAAGAGAGAGGAAGGAAGAGAAGGAGATGTAAGGACATTACAGAGTGGACAGGAAAGACGATCCGGTGACACTCTGAGGAAAGCAGAGGACAAAAATAGATGGCGAGAACTGGTTTTTAGATGCAGGGGTCCCCACGGTTGCCCCAACCACTGTATAGAAGAAAAAGACGAAAAACGTGTTCTTGATGACGATAGTGAAGTAAAAGGTACGGGGTGTTAGGTCGTTAAGGAAGCTTAGGTCTACGAACTAAGAGAACCATGTAGCTAGCTTGCTGTTCGTTTTGTTGTTGTTGTTGTTGTTGCTTTTGGGGGGAGGGGTTGTTTGTTTTTGAGATTGTTTGTTCGCTTTTTTAAAAGTTTTGCGGAGTGTAGTGAGAGAGGGGTTGGGGGAGGGGGCAGGGCCTGCTTTAAAGAAGGGGCATCTGTTACAATATGCTGGACTAACAAGCAGACACATCAGGTTCAATTCCCCAACAGAGCGTTCTTTATATCAGTTTGTAGTTGTTCAACAACGTTTTTGATTTGTTTTCTTCGTTTATGTGCTTGTATTGTTTTGTTTTATTTAGGGTGGCGGTGGTGGGGTATCAATGTTCGCAAAGTACGTGCTTTTTTTCACAGGGGACGCCACCGTAATTTTGAGGACGCTTTATTTTTAATAAGCTCAAAGGGAGGAGTGAGCAATGTTGTAGCTGTAACGTGCGATCTGTGATGTTGTATAACGTGAGAGGGAAGGGGCGGGGGGGGTGCAGGGTCTGCTTCTAATAGGGGGCAACTATTACAATGTGCTTGACTGCAATACAGTCAGGCAAGGTTCAAATCCCCTGCTAAACGTAACTCAACTTTTGTTTTTTGCTGTTGTCTGTTGTTTAAAAAAACCATTTGTTTGGTTTCTTCGTTTATGTGCTTGTTTCGCTCTCTCTCTCTCTCTCTTTCTCTCTCTCTCTTTCTCTCTCTCTTCCTCTCTCTCTATATATATCTTCTTCTTCTTCTTCTTCTTCTTCTTCTTTTTCTTCTTCTTCTTCTTCTTCTTCTTCTTCTTCTCTCACTCCCATTATCTATTTTTACCCCCCCCCCCCAACTCTACATGAAAAAATGTATTAAAAATTTCCAAACGAAACAGTACAAGCAAATACGCTTCTCTCAATTTAAAAATAAGCATACATTTTTTTTCAACATGTAAGAACAAAATGTTGGGTAAACGTTTCTTTTCCACCTGGCAACTAAAACTTGATGACGCTAGTGAAGTCCACAAATCAGGGCAACAAAGAGGATAAGACAATATGGGTCAACAAACTACAATAAATAGAACTGTGCACTCAGCCTGTGGTATATCTGGTTATTTACGTTTGTCCCAATATAAAGACAATGTGGGCCGGTTCATTGTCTGTTATACAAAATACGATCTCTTATCCTTCCTCCCTATCCCTATCTTTATCTCTTTCTGGGTGTCCGTCTGCCTCTCCATCTTTCATTAATTATAAAATATCAATATATCATTACTTCTCCTATCCATCTATCCACCTTGCTACTTATCCAAGGCAATCCGTGTCTCTATCAGTGTCTGTTTATCTTTTTTTCTCCGTCTCTGTTTGTCTCCTATGTTCTTCCTTTATTTGTCTCTATCCTAAGCTGCGCGTTCGACTATCCCCCCCCTCCTTCTGTCTCTCTCTCTCTCTCTCTCTCTTTCTTTCTTTTTTTCTTTCTCTCAATCTCTCTCTCTCTCTCTCTCTCTCTCTCTTTCTCTCTCTCC